AAACCATCATCATAGTGCTTACTATTAGGTATATCTCTGATGAACTACCTTTTTTTGAGGGAGAAATCACTTTGAGAAAAGGATGTCGAGATCGCCTTCCCATAAATTAACAAAAAAATTTTGATGTTTCATTGGAATGGGCTGCGATTGTACCAACAATGTTGAGAATAGTAGGGTGATCATAATAGTTTTTGCCCCGAGAAACCGGCTGTGTTTCACCTGATTTACATACTTCAAAGAAACGGCGAGTCTTTTTTTAATCGGCCTATCTGATTCTTAGAACCATAAGTTCAAATTGTAGGGAACCGGATAAGTTGACTCAATATCAATAGCTGTCACTAAGTTATAACCAGTCGTTTTCCTGAAGTAAGTTCAGGGACGAGCTAGCTGCTTCGGTTAACGCTTTGCACAGCAGCACGGAACTCCAGAAAAAGCCTCAATACGAATTAAAGCAAAGACAAGACGAAAAAAGAGGCTAAAAAGAAGAACGCGAACTTGTCTAAAGGGCAGCACTAAGTCTGGATTCTGCAGTCATGCTGCTTCATTGTACTTAAAAAAAGCACACGCTGGAAATAACTCAGGAGAGCACGTAGCACTCTATTCGTTTTCTGTGAAATGTGAAAAATGTAAAAAAAAAATATGCAGCGAGCTTCAACCACCTGAAGAAACGTCAGAGGAAGTGACTGGTAAAGAACCAGCCTAGGATTGTGCTTTCTCAGGAGCACTGTGTCAATATGAAGGCCTGAAACGCTCAAGATAATGCAAAGCCTTTTTCAGCTTATTGCAATAGAAGTGGATCCTCACCGGTGTTTTCTCAAAGTTTACATTTCTTGCGTTCTTTACATTGACTCGAACAACGACACGGCAATAACAATGCCCCAGCTTGCGTTTTACCACACGCAACGCACATCCAAACTATGCGCATGTTGTCATAGGAAGCGGAAGATCGAACATGAATTTCGTGAAGGGAGCGTGGAGAAACTCCGCGAACATTCTAGAGCGCTAGCCGTGGTCAACGCCCAATAATATCGGCACGCGTTCAGCTGTAGTGTTGTTGTGCTGGTGATTGTTCTTTCACTTTTTTGATAAGCTTGAAGTTATATTTAAATATTTTCATGTGCTGTATTCTTATTAGAGAGATTGTTCTATTGTTCTTTCTTTTACATGTAAATTTGAGGAATTGCAACTTCATTTGGTTTCTCATGCCCTTTTACAGCAAGTTTGTTCATGGTTAGTAATGAGCGCTGTTCAGAGAAAATTACTCGCAATAATGGGAAAGGATTACTACAAGATCCTTGGAGTAGCAAAAGGAGCTAGTGACGATGAAATCAAGAAGGCTTACCGAAAAATGGCTTTGAAGTTTCATCCAGACAAAAACAAGGAGCCTGGAGCTGAGAATAAATTCAAGGTGAGTTCATTTTTCCTCAAATTGGTAAGCGTCGAGACGCGGAAACGTACTCTAGATCTACCATAGGTCCGAAATCCCACTCAAATATTTTGCGCTTCGTGCATACGTGGTTGATTTTGTTGGTGAAGGATTCTGTGATTAAGGAAGTCCTGCAGCTGCATTTGACAAGCAGCAGGGCTATTCGCTATGGGATTTTGGCTAGCTCAAAAGATATTTTGAAACAGGCTGGTTGAGGTTAGTGTAGAGACGCTCACCGAACAAACTTAGCTTAATGATTTCGCATTTTTGGGATTTCAGAATGGTAAAAATTACTTTGTCATGTCAAAGGGAGCGTTCATGGTCTGTCGTCATGTAGTAACGATCGCACAGCATTAGATACGTATCGATCGAATCCCCGACGCGTCCTATTGCAACGATCGAAAGATTGGTTCCAATGTAATGCTATACGATCGTTACGACAGAACGACCGACTATAAAATCTCCTGTATCGAATGATTCCAAGAAGGTTTAAAGATTCGAAAACATGCCTTGTTTTATTTCACCTTGAGCTGATAACCTTCTGCGGCGTCGCACAAAGCGTGATCAATCAAGATGGCCTGATTTGGGACAGCATCAGTTTTCATTGGAATTGACCGTGATATTGCCTATCATTTGTTAGTAACTCTACATAAGACACCTGATGGAAAGGGCAAAGAGCTTTTTCGTAAAGAAGAGCAAGGGAAGAGAAATGGACAATGAACTCATCATGGTCAGTTTTAAAGGAAAATAGATAACCACTGTTGGTTACGAATTAATGCAATCGTACAGTATCAATTTTCAATTTCTACCTCCCAATCTATTCGAGAGGTAGTCGTAAGAGCTGCGAGATACTAGCCGATAGAAATAGAAATTTAATACCGCGTGATTGAAGGAAAAACAGAAGTAGGGTAGTGGCAAATGTATCGACGACCCTGCCTTTTGCAAAGAGAACAATGATGTTGAGCAAAATTTGAACATCTCACCAATACGGTGTTGATTCTTGACTTTTCATGCATCTAAGCGTGGTAACCCATTCATTAAACAGACTATTCTTGCTCGGTCACGGATTCATCTATTCCTGATGTTGATATCGCTATCTCAGTGATGCTACAATCTGTATACCGGTTGCGAATACACCCAGCTCTGTCCTTAGAGTTTTAGCTTCTCTTTTCAATTCTTCAGTTCAGAAACAAACTTCATGACCAAATTGATTCGGTTTTTACACATTAACAGAGAAGCACAAGTGCGAAGTGAGCCGTTTAAAAATCGTCGAAAACTGTGTTTACTGGTCCTCGTGAACGAAGAACTACGAAATGTCATGTCAGAAATTTAGCTCGTGTGGCGAATTTTCGAGTCAAATGGATTTGTCATTCGCCACTGTAGTAAAGAGCTTTATCCGGACAAAATGAAATCTGTTCTCGTCCTGGGGTTAACCTGTAGGTTTTGTCCATGGTCTTATTGCAATCTGGCCAGGCTATCGCATGGCTAAATGCTGGGTTTCTGAAAAGTTCCCCATCCAAGCCTCAAAATCACATTACCAGTGTTATTAAATACGAACTTCATTGAACTTTGCTCAGCGGCATTTCCCTTTGTTTCTAGATATGTGAGGTGTTTATGTTCTTTCATTGGACATGAAATCTCGACACTCCCCTCCCCCATTGCCTGTTTTTTCTTCTGATCTGCTGCTTGATTAGCCAAGTCTTTGCCGAGCTTTGGAATGCAAGCAGATGGATCGTTTCCGTAGTATAGATAAAATTGCTCGATGATGAAAGGCTGGTGTCAGAGTCCGCGATCCGTCGCAGGTTTCGCTGATTTTCGCGATTTGCGCGATTCACGCGACGGGTCACGGAAATCACAAGTGCCCGATCAATACTGCAAGGTGTTCTCCAATCCTGCCGCCACTTCTGCTTGATAGTGATGGCTGAATGACGACTGCTCATGATTCCACTTGTTTCATATTCAGTGTTTCAAATGTTCACACACTTGCAATTTTTGCGATCCGTCGCAGGTTTCGCGCAAATCGCGCAAATCGCGAAATCGCGAAACTTGCGACGGATCGCGGACTCTGACACCAGCCTAAGGCCGATGTCAGACTTTGCGCGATTCGCTACTAGCGATTGCGGTACCAGCCAATTGAGTGATTCACTGGCCGCGACGCGACCGCAGACGCTAGCGAATCGCGCGATTCGCAAAGTCTGACATCGGCCTAACATGTACCTGTTGCTGGTGTCATTAATTCACTGTAACCTCTGAGCCTACCTGGCCCATCATACCCACATTTCTCTATTGCTTCAGGTCTCCATCAGTCTAGTATTAAAAATCCGAAGAAAAGGCTTCGTAGTGCTTGAATTCTACTCATTTCATTGGTTAAATGAGAGAATCGCGATACCCATCTGTTTTGAAACCATATAGAACTGTTTACTGGGCACATGAAACATCCTAGTTTAATATTGCTGTGCTTATTGTCAATGGTTATTTAGGAGTTAGTAAAGCGTAGTAACATTATGAACTGAAATGAGTGATCTTCAATTCTTCGTAGCACCCACGGCTATAAAGAAACCCTGGAATATGCACTGTTCAAGTTTTGGGATTCCATACCCGATATTCCCCATCACTCCTGCACGCCCATAGGTTCAGCAGCGGCAGTCTTAATTGCGCAATGATCTATGGTAACGTTTTATAGTGCGCTAGCACTTCTGGATGCTACCAGTATCTTTCCTAATAAGAGGAGCAAAACGGCTAGCTCAACAAATTAGGGAATGGGTCAATGTGTTGCAAGATTTACGGTGCTGCGTTTCTGCTGTTCAACCACACATTTCCTAAGAGGTGCAAATTAGTCATGCACCAGCAAGCATTAATAGGTAGCAGGCGGTTACATGTTTCAAATTCAGGAAATTGCTGAAGCTTACGATGTACTGTCCGACCCTAAAAAGAAGGAGATATATGATAAGTATGGTGAGGACGGTCTCAAGAACGGCGGACCCGACGTTGGAGGACCAGGAGGATTCCATTACGAGGTATGTTTTGTTTTTGAATTCCTATGTTTAATGTTTCGTGACATTTGTCAGATTAAGGACTGATTAGTCAATCGCAATTATTTTTTATTCATTAATTAGCCATATATTTTCAGTTCCAAGGAGATCCAATGCGCATGTTCACACAGTTCTTCGGATCAGAAGATCCTTTCAGTGGTATTTTCGGGATGGGTGGTGGCCATCCTAATATCTTCTTCAATATGGGAGGAGGTGGTATGGACGATGGCATGAACGGATTTTCTGCATTTACCGGTGGCATGCCACATGGACACCGAAGATGTAGGTTAAGAGTTTTGGGTCTTTAATCAGATACTCCTACGACATTTATCTGCGATCACCTTGTTTTAGCTGCTCCAAAGCAGGATCCTACTGTACAGCACGAGCTTAACGTTAGTCTCGAGGACATTTATCAAGGGTGCACAAAGAAAATGAAAATTACGAGGTATAATTTTTTACTTGAAGCCACATGATCGTTGTCGATCTTGTGATAGTCACGTTGTTGAGTGCAACGCAGTGTACTTGTTCCAGAAAGGTTTTGAATGCGGACGGTCATTCCACCAGAGTTGAAGATAAGGTCTTGACGATTAACATTAAACCAGGGTGGAAAAGTGGTACCAAAATCACATTCCCGAAAGAAGGAGATCAGCATCCTGGACGAGTCCCAGCAGACATTGTTTTTGTCATTAAGGTATGAGGCCATGAATCATTAGCTTATTTTTTTATGTTGCCGCTTGCCTTAGTTTAAACAATCATTCAAAATGTTGGCAGCAAAGGTTTTGCGATGAATTTTAGCCCAGCTATTTTTAGGATAAGCCACATAAAACATTCAAGAGAGAAGCATGCGATCTACGATATAATCATCGTGTGGCATTGCGTGATGCTCTCTGTGGGTGCATCGTTGAGGTTCCTACTCTCATGGGTCCACCAACTACGTTAAGACTCGACAACATCAAACCAAACACCGTAAGGAGGTCAGTAAGAAATTACTCATACTCTCAAGATTACCAGTTTTTACATTTTATCGCTTGTGTTCTTGTGTTCATATTCTTTTTGTTCAGGATTACTGGAAAAGGATTGCCAAATCCTAAAGCGCCGGGTCATTATGGTGACCTGATTGTACAGTTCGAAGTGGAGTTCCCCTCAAAGCCAATAACGGATCCGGTTTTACGTGAACAGCTTATGAGAATTCTTCCGCCCTTGTCTCATGCATAATCATGCCTTTGGTAATGTGAAATTTCAAAGCTTTTTAGTCTTCCCGATATTTGATCGAGGTTATATTTACCTTCCGAATGTCATTTCGTTGTATGTATTTATTAGATCTGTATCCCCGCATACGTTTATCCACATGCACTCGGTATTTATGTATTTAGGTAAATGTAACTGATTTACGCTTCACCGCTGCGGGTATACTTTTCAGCGTAGGTCTATGTTGTATCTTCGTAACTGTACCATGTGTTCATTATCGCAATGATTTTGTCATACATCTGTGAACTTCACAGTGGATTTTCTATATAGAAGTTTCATCCGACTTTTTAGGGAATTTCACTCTCAGTTTGTCTCGAGATGCACATTCACCAGTTCTACTGGCTAGTCATTGTCGAGTTACATAGAATTGAAGTCATAAATATTTTACCAGAATTCTATTCACAGCAAGGTATATAGGTTTGATCGTGATATTTTATAAGTAGCAAGTATGAGCGGAGGGTGATTCGTGCTAATTTTTGCTGAAGTGAATAACTTTAAGCTGTATCTATTGCTCTATTCTCCTTGCATAATCATTTTGAATGCATTTTTTTTGTGGAGAATTGTGTTGCTTTTACAGTTTAACACTTTGGAGACCGCGCGTGTTTTACGTTCCGCGGCCGCGCGGGACTTCGGTGAAATTTTTAGGGATCTTATCTAGCAAATTCAAAAGAAGAACCCACTGTATAATGCAGAAGAAATCTTATCGGATAAAATGGAAAAGAAAATGAATGAAAAACCTAATAATTGTTTCCGAAATGCGAGCTGAAAGGTCCTATGCGGTCGGAGGACTGCAGCCCACATATGGGCTGCGTGGGCTCCAAGGTGTTAGAGTTCTTAGCAAACTTCACTTTCACTATTACTCAGCAGGGATTGGTTGAGTATTGGGACTACAGGGGACTGGGGAAATGAATTCTCGTTTTTCACGTAAATTTTCACGTTCGCTTTACGGCAGTGTAAATATTGGTTGGATTTGCTCCGCACTATGACCGTTCTTTGATGCGGTGCTTCATCGATCGTGATCGATACCTGTGCATTTTTTCAGCGTAATGAGCGTAATTTTTTTCAGCGTTCGCAGAATTGTGGCTGTGAACTGTGCCCAGTAGGACTGCGAGTATCGTACTCAGATAAGCTACGTACTACTTGTGAACACTACCCATTTTTTTGGATGCTTAGCGGTGGTTACTGGTGTGATGGAATACATAGCCCTTCTGGAATAAATCAGAAATGTATTGTTACTCTGTTTGAGTTTTCGTCGACATCGTTCATCTTCACATATTTGGTCAAACTCACTGAAAGCTGATGAGTTGATGTGCTTGTGTCGTGAGTCTACGACAAAAGTGGGCGGTATTTTCGTGAACTCGAGATTGCTACGCAACTTTATCGCACGTGGCGAACAGCATTTTTTCCCGGCATCGCCCTGACGGGCGCACCTGTTTTTCGCTCCCATGTCCACACGTCCTCGGGAATGATGTCCAAGTCCATTTGGGTCATTAAAAGATTAAAACAATCAAAGTGGGGCTCCGTCCTCGTTGGAATATCTTGTTATTTCCTTCAGATAGTAGATATGGAGAAGTATTTGGGCATTTTTCGAACAAAGCAGTGCTTTCTTGCACATAAGACGGCCCGCAAATGCGACCACACAGCGTTTCGGCAACTATTTTTTTGCGTCGAATTAGAAATTTTCGTGTTTCTCGCCATGTTGCAGTTGTGCGGATCTCGAGAATTTCAAAAGTTTTGACATGAGAAAAGTCAACATCGCTATATGTTTTCAACGTGTATTGGAATTCTTTAATGAGCGAGCGGATCGGAATGACCCAGTTAACCCTTAGACTACAACTTTTTTACAATTGTGTTATCGGTGTGTTTTGTGAAGTAACTATCTCTTCCTAGCAACAACTAATCATCTATAGAAATTGGGTGAGAATGCGGGATTTCACCTGGGATTTGATCCAAGGACCACGAGCGCGGTATTTGCCACCACACCATCTCAAATGAGTAATTTTGAAATATAAATCAGCATTTTAGTTACTATCAACAAATACGTAACATTTCGTTCGTAGAACAAAGCTAATGTCCAGTTGGGGCCCACACCTCGGAACAATTGCAAACCGCAATTTCTAGAGGCGTTCGGGTTACACTGGCCTTATGCTATAAAGAATATTCGTCGACTTCTACTGCTTCGAGATCTGTGTCATCATAGAAGTCTTTTAATTCTACCCTCGCACCATCCGAACTAATAGAATCTTGGGGGTTGAATTCTTCAACATTACCTTCGAACGCCGTGTCGTCCTCTGGCTGTTTTTCGGTTGATAAAATGCCCCATCTGTAATCGGTCTGTCTGCCCATGTTGCGCTGATGCAATATTTAGGGACATACTAAGTTCTAAGTAATAATTTTTCGGAGCTGCACACACTGATTAGTGATTTCGGTATGTCTGATCTATTGACTCATGCAGGGTCAATACTTTGACTTCTTACGATTTTAACCCAAAACTGTGCGGAAGTGGTACATACGTGTACCAACAGTAGTCAAAAGGTTATACGCCTTGTGATCCATGAGTTTGGTGATGCTCAGATTTTACTGGTTTTCATTTTATAGGAATGTTGTCAAGAGTAGCGCGTGGTTTCCTTCAGTTCTCGCCATGCAGAATACCTATAGTTCGAAGTAAGTGTTCTTCACACCAATTGAAATAATTTCCACAATGGCTTTCTGCCATTGCTCATATAAACCCCATGTTCGCCAACGCTGTGCATGCATTTATTCCCGTTCTTGTGTAGTATATGTCCCATCATGCTTAATTCATCATTGCACTACGTTACACTAAATTTTGTCGCTTGAAAGAGCAACTACAGATATTTTACGGGTCTCACCCAGTAAGGAGGCGTGTTGTGCGACAGTTGCTACCTTGCTAGAAATTTCAATTTTTGCAGGGGAAGGAATTCCCGGGAATCCTCGTGAACCATTCCCTTTTACACCCACGCCTTCTCTTCTATTCTCCGGAATCTGACAGCACCACACCCTTACTGCTTTATACCTGATTTTACCCACTCGCTTTTAAGAAATGGGAGTACTTTTCGTGGTGAACAGTAGGTTCCAAAAGTTGAGTCGATCAAACTGTTGTCAGTTACTTTCAGACAGTTCTTCCTTCAACTTTCTTGACGCGTTTGACTTCAATTCACAGCTGTCAGATGTAAGGATTTCTTCAAGTTGCAGAATCCTCAAATTTCTATTCATGGTGTTTTGTTTACAGGAGGAAAGAGATCTCATGTTTTCAACTCATGAATATTGTCAAGAAAAGCTTCAACCAAGGATAATTTCTGCCTATCGCGAAGAGAGTACGGTTTTCGTAGAGAAATGTCATATTAGAAACGCTTGGGCGCTTTGTCACACTTCATTTTAGAGTTTGATCCCACGTTAATTCCTGAAATGGGCAAAATGGGCCTTCTCGGAGCACCTTACCAGGTAACTCTCGTTCGGAATAAATTCATTTTTCTGGTCAATTTGTTTTTCTTATAGGGTTACGGGTGCGCCGGGACCACAACAGTCGGCTATGGGCTAATAGCACGCGAGATTGAACGAGTAGATTCAGGATATCGATCAACAATGAGCGTTCAGACCAGCCTCGTCATTGGACCAATCTATAATTACGGTCGGTAGTATTCTTCAAAAATAGGGAAATGGTGTGCTACTCTGACGGTAATAAGCGCTCCTCCATCTCGCCAAGCAGACAAGGCGTGCTGTGATATGTCTTGTGTGGAGGACAGGGTCAAGCATCCTATTCTGTAATTTTACAAAGGAAGGTCTTATTTGAAGGGGTAGGGCTATATTCGTCAAGGCTACGGGAGCAGGGAATTTAAGAAAAAATAAAATTTTCTGACGAAATTTGGAGGAGTTTATGTACATTTTGGACTCGTAACAGTTTCCTTTCGATTCTTTCCGCCTCTCTCCCTCTTCCTCTCTTTACCTTCCCCCGCCTCCATTCAACCGTCCACATGCTCGACGAGCATTTTGGGTTTTGATGTCTAATTGAACCCAGTCAAAGAAATGACCCCTTCAAGAAGCGGAGGACAGAAAGGGGTACGGTGGGTCAAACTCGGAAATGTGTCTCACGCCATAGTTGACCCTAGTTTTACATTCTTGTAACATAAAGCAGATTTGCGAGCAGATTAGTGTGTTCGCAATTAGTGTTATAATTTCCGTCATTTTGGAATTTTTTGCTTTGAAATAGCTTGTGTCTCCTCATGCAGAAGGGTTTGTATTGCTGTTACTTGCCCTTAACATTTTCAACGTTTGCAGGAACTGAAGAACAGAAGCAGAAATACATACCAGGCTTGGCTAGCGGCGAGCTTGTGGGTTGTTTCGGATTGACCGAGCCAAATCACGGTTCTGATCCAGCCGGCATGGAAACTAGAGCGAGGTATGGCGACTATTTGAAGTGTTGAAGATTGTGAATGCATTGATTTGTTCGACAATTGTATTATATTTCAACCTCGTAGTAAGTGAGTGTTGGGTAACAACCGTAAAATAGTAAGCTTGGACTTTTCGAAGATCATGCTGAATGCATTTATTCTATCGCCCTTTCCTTTATCGAGATCCTCAAGCGAAGGCCAGTAACGCTCCCATTCATCCCTATCCTGTGCCAGAGTATTTCACTGCATCTTCGCTCCTCACTCTATGTGTGTAAAGTTTTCCAAATAATTCTAACCATCCCTTTGATGCCTGAATTAATGGAAAATTTGGCTCATGTAAGAATACCTATCGAATAATGAGGTGAAAGTAAGAAGGTGGTAAGTAGAGTTAGACGTAGAAAGGTAGAGTTAAACGAAGGAATGTTCTTTCCAGTAGAAGTAAGAACGGAGCAGAAGTGACGAAGAAATAGTGGAAAGGGAAGTTTTGCAAGTGCAAAAGTAAGAAAAGTGAAGGTATTGGGGAAGAATGTCACGCACTCGCACCAAGTTCTGGAGAGTGGTCAGATATTCAGAAGGTATGTCAGAATATAATTAAGAGTTTTATTGGAAAATTTTATCTCAAATGGACCGCTTGCTAGTCGCTGTGTAGAATAACGGAGGTTGCTGATGTGGTCATTGCACCAGGTACGTGTTTGAAGAAGTCCATGTTTTAGGGTGGACCTAGCCGTTTGCCTCTCAAGGGTCTTTTAATTGATGCCAAACACGTCTAGGAATATCAAAACACTGTTTTATACATGCGTTATGAATAAGTTGTACGACTTGCGAGTGCGAGCCGACCAACCATCGGCTCGCACTCGCAGTTCATACTATTTCCAAAAAAGCGTTCAAGTGAGACGACGGTGATTGCGGTTGGAAGTATCAGAAAGTATGGCTCATTCTAAAAAGGAGATAACTAATGGCGAATGCTTCCTCTATTCTTTGATTTTCTATTATCAGCAGCGATTATTCTCATTCCCACACAAGACAAAAATAGATTTATTGGCTCTGCTGAAATCCTCTATGAAAAGCACATCTCGTTTTCTGAGTGTTCGGGTTTGGGTAATATTTAAGGTGAATTAAGAGGAGAAGTTGTCGGTCCTCTCCGCCAGTTCTCAGGTGAGTCAAAGGCAGTGAACCCGGTGGTTGGATGGTGAAACAGTTTGATGCAGTTTAATGAACTCTTAGGATGTTATTGGTGGGCAAGACCCGTCCTCGCTGCGAGGTGTGGTTAGAATCACCTCCCGATTCCTTTCTCACCGATCACGCTCAATCAAAAATCGTTCCGCCGTTCAGTCATCGTAATCATTGCCAGTAAGGCTTTGGCGACATTACGGTACAATGTGGTGATGGAGCATTGAAAAAAAAAACGTTTGTGCAAATTTCAAGTCTATCACGATAGTATGTTATTCAAGGAAGCACAGTAGTGCTTATGTTAGTTATGGTCCATGCACATCTTTCTCATAGGGAATTCCGCTCAATAGGTTTTTGAAAGTGATTTTCCCAACTGAGGGTCTTTATTTTCCGATGTTGGGCTTTCTGAGCTAGCTAGTGTTTTTATGCTGCTTCTCAAAATTATCCGGATCCAATCCCATTCACTTATGCTGCGGTAAAAAATTAAAGTTTTCCAGTTTGCTCTAGGATGCTCTTCGAGAAAAACCGTGTGATTAACGCACAGCAACAATCGGCAAAGATTTGGGACAAGTCTATTAACATTGTGTGCATTGGGTCATTTGCACCTATTTTGGTGTGTCTCCCGCTCATGTAAACATGTTACTCAAACCTGAGCTCTCAGAATCAGGGTCAACCCTACGCTGGGACAAGGACCATCGGGGGGAGGGGTCGTACTTGCTTCGGTAGCACGAAATTACATGTAATGAGGTGAGAGCGCGCGGGAGAAAATTTGCCGTTTCAGCGTGCGTATATACCCTCCCTTAGAAAATGTGCAGTGGAAATATAGGGAAAAATAGGTGAAATAGGGGGAAAACGAGGGAAAAGTAGAGGGAAATATAGGATGGTCTTGAGGCGCTCGATGGTGTTTTGAGGGAAAAAGAAGTTGTGAAGAAGGGGTCCTATGAAATCTCTCATGAAGGAGAGGGTTCGTAAAATTTTTTCAAAAAGTCCCAACGGCAGGGTTGACCCTGCTCAGAATGGAGTGAGACGCTGACCATTCATTTTTTTGCAATCGTAGAGTGGATGCAAATGTCTCTACGAGGTTGGACGCGAATGGGACTCATTTCTAGGGTTGATTAAAGGAATCTTCCACGGAAAAAGCTCCGCCCTCATTACCACAGAAAACGATACCTTAAAGGAATCTTCCACGGAAAGAGTGATCATTTTGTCTTGTGTGTAGGATTAGTATTATCGAAACTAACGCTTATGTTCCGTTCTTTTTGCTATGCTCATGAGGCTAGGGGCCTAAGGTATCGTTTTTCTGTGGTAATGGAGGCGGAGCTTTTTCCGTGGAAGATTCCTTTAATGCCATTGTACAAGATCACTTCACCTCTGTGTATGGAGACTTAATTCTGGCGAGGATGGGCTAGGATTTTTTCATATTGCAATCGTTCCACCACTCTCTCAGTACCACTTTATAAGTCCCTTTATAAATTTATTTTATTTTAAGGCCATGTCTACTATAACCTTATGTTCACTAATATCACATCTCTCTTCTTTCTATACTGACTCAATATAGAACACACAATGCATTCGTTCCTAATCACTGAAGAGCTCTAGTGGAACTGTTTTATAAAGGGACTTATAAAGTGGTACTGAGAGAGCAAGAATTCAGTAAAAAAGAGGATAGAGCTGAGGAGGAAAGGAGGGAAGTCAAATGCTGTGTGTGATGCAGCGAAGCGGGTGGTGGTAAAATCAAGTAACGAATTATGATCTGAGACCGCCGTAGATCGGAAAAAATTGTTTGACGGCTGAAGAAAGAGGAGAGGTCAAGTGAGGGTGAAAAATGTGGTCGTACACAGATTCTAGCTTCGATCCTCCTTCATAAACAGAGCAAATGAGTACTCTGGAGAAAAGGCTTGTTTCAGAATCGCTCTCCTTTCGACTTTGCCAGACTTTTCTTATCTCTCAAATCCCTTGAACACGTCCCTCAAGAAAGCTAATGAAAGGAAAAACTGGTGCTTTTCTGTGTAGAGAAATTCTTCAGAACCTGCCATGATCTCAGCACCTCCCCATTAATCAATGAGGACATCTGGCTGCCCCGTTCTATGCTAACATAACAGCTCTATACTTCTGCACAACATACGTTCTATACCCACAGTTTCATATGATGCGCGCGTGCAAGTTGGTATAATACTAGCAGTGCGGTGCACAAAAATGTATTTCTCATATAGTGGTGTTGAAAAATAGCGATATGAAAAGTCATTTCTCACAGTTATTTTAGATTTCCAATATATTTTTTCTCGAACGATACTGAAGCATTGCAGGTGGGACGAAAAAACCAAGACATATCGTCTTTCTGGCACGAAAACCTGGATCAGTAATAGCCCTGTGGCAGATGTATTCATAGTGTGGGCCAGAAGTGATAAGCATAACAATGATGTCAAGGTATGCAAAATATGCTTTAGATACTTTTTTGTTTGCACACAGGTTGATTCTTCGCATTTGCTGGAAATTGTTTCGCCGATAATTCGCTACGCAATATTCACAAACACTCATTTTACTGGTACCTCTGAGATAAAGTTGCCCTTTCATAGTAGACGTTTATAGGGTTTCATCCTTGAGAAAGGAATGGATGGGCTCACAGCACCAAAAATTGAGGGGAAGCTCTCGTTACGTGCTTCCGTCACTGGACAAATCGCAATGGATGAGGTTCCAGTTCCAGAGGCCAATTTGCTTCCAAATGTAAGCGGTTTTGTGTCCATGCTTCCAATGCAGTCGCTTTATCAGTAGCACTTTTCCCTCTCTAAATTCTTACTTTTTTCTAAAGGTGAGAGGCTTGGGAGGTCCTTTTGGTTGCTTAAACAATGCACGTTTTGGAATCGCGTTCGGTACATTAGGTGCAGCAGAGTCGTGCTTCCACCTTGCACGACAGTACGCTTTGGACAGGTTTGTATTAAAGTCTCCTGTTTATACTATTGCTCATTACAGTCTTTTTAATGCACGTGACACTTATCTATCTCTTGAACTTCCCCTTCATCTCTGTCTAGTAGCTGCAAGCAACACCTCAAAAGCAGGTGTTACGATGAATTAGAGGTCGAGGGAGGACCAATATTTACCGTAAAGGGAGGCAGGCCCCAAGGGAGCGGAAGGAGGCGCCTTTCTCCGCTGAGGTTAGCTCGTAACGGCTTAATAAGGCCCACCCGTGATGGTGAACTCTGTTCGCGGCTGTCTACGTGCACCGATTGGAGACTCCCTGCCGTCGGACACTAGCTGTTCCAGCAAAGAAGCAGAGCTAAGCGTTAACGTTAATGACTTCACTACGATGAAAAGCGGAAACGCAGAATCAAACGAAGGGAACAAGAGGGATTCGTTTTGGGCGCTTTTGGCCGTCTCTGGCAGAAAATTGTTATGGCGGTTGTATATTGCTCTGACACCATACAGCTGCTCTACTCCTCGAGCTAGCGCTGGGAACATCACTGTTCGGCACTATTTACCTTTTACTGCCCACCCTCGGAGAACTGAGGATTTTGATAATTACGGATTTTTGATCGAATTGGTCATTGACTGTGAATTTGGCCAGAAACTTGCCTTCGGGGGTAATTCGACCCGTAGAACACGAATATCACATTTGTTTACCGCTAGAACGCCTGGCGCTCGCGTCAGAAGCGCCGGCGCCAAAAGGCGCCAGAACATCTCGGATCCCCAAATTCGCTGGAAAGTTGTCCTCAGAGGTATTTTGACCCGTAGAATATGATTATCACATCAGTTTGTTACGAGTGAACCTGTAGCCTGCGCTACGAGCGCCCGCGCAAAACTGTTGTGAATAGCGCGGGGCGCAAGCGTTTTCGCTCTAAACCGGTATTATATTCGTGATCTACGGGTCAAATTACCCCTGAAGGCAAGTTTCTAGCAAAATCCACAGTCATGGACGAATTTCGATCAAAATCCGGCTCAGTTCTTGAGGAGTGGGGCAGTAAAGGGTAAATAGTGCCAAATTTTTTGCTATTTTATTCCCATAGGAGTTTCAGTGGTATTTCCTTGCTCGAGGGACAAGAGAGTGCGCTTTGATGGAAATCCCATGAAGCATCATTTTGAAGGTTTTGTTCAGGTCTCAATTTGGGCGTCCACTTGCTCAAACTCAGCTGATACAGCTCAAGTTTGCTGACATGTTGACAGAAATCACCCTCGGACTACAAGGTTGCCTAAGAGTGGCTCGATTAAAGGTGCAGCTACAGTTTTCACTGTATCAAGTGTCTATTTTTGTAGTCCAGCTGAATATGTAACCAACTTTTCAGGACGAAGGAAAAGCGACACCAGAAATGATTTCTTTAATCAAACGGAATTCATGCGGGAAATCTTTGGACATTGCACGGAAAGCTCGGGATATTCTGGGTGGTAATGGTATTGTTGACGAGTATCATGTAATGAGACACATGCTTAACTTGGAGACCGTCAACACGTATGAAGGTGACTTTTTTTTATCAAATTCTTTTGAGATGATGTGTGGAAAAATATTGGATGAAGGTAAACCGAGTAGACACATTCCACAACACCTGAAAAAGTGCGCGTCGATACGAAAATCAGTAGCACTGTGTGTAATAGCTCGGATCAAAAGATGCATTTGCTATGCAGTTCTTGGTTGTCTAGAGAGAAAATATGCGTTTCTTCTTAGAGAATAAAAGAATGCGGCCACGTCGCGGCGTCAGCCTGAGAGAGCGCTGAGTTGCGAGCCTAGGAAAGCGCCAGGTTCCATTCAGGCAGTGAGAGAGCGGGCGCGCCAAGAAAATGATTCCAAGCGCACGTAGCTTTTTTCTAATCGTACATTTTTCAGTTGTGCGTGTAAATTTGAAATCTGCATGAAGTCTGCTTCCAGAAACCCATCAAAGTTACCCACAAGTCGAAATGTTCTTCTGTTACCATGTGGAACCCAGTTTCTAAAGGAATACGCATCGCCATTTTGAGAAGTCATAAAATCTTTCAATTGCTGCGGTCTGAGGAGCGTAAAGAATCCAATTCGTCCCGGATGCCGGTTCAACAAGGCCTGCTTCGGATGCGCCACGCACGACCCGTGGTTCAAAATTGCGAAGGCATTTGAAAGTGTACTGAAGGCGAACTAGCAGTTCCTTCCTTCCTGTACAAGCCTAAGCCTACAGGTGTTTTATGTAGTTTAGACTGCATGAACTTAACGTATTGGCACATCCTGTTGTGTATGCTCCTCTGCGCCCTTTTTGGTATTTTTTTTCCAAAACCAACACCACTCTTCCAATAATTTCGTTACTAATAATAGGCTTAGTTTTTTGGATCCAGTGGTGAAGACGAACGACTTTCTAACATAAGAAAATACCAATGACTCGAGCAAATCTGCCCGTTCGTGCGGAGCTCTGACGCGCATGCGCGTCATGCTGTTGCCATTGTGTTGAAATGTGCGTTATTTCCTTCCGGCTTCTGCAACATCTGCGTTTCACTCCATCGATCTATGAAGGATAGACGAAGCGGTCGAACTCAAATCGAGCAATTTTATTTCATTTTATTCCACAATCCATAATGCCTTCCAGCGTTTCCCTCTTCCATTACCCTATCCTTTCTATATGGGATTTTGTGTCGTAGTTGGTATTAAGTTGCACTTACGGAAAGGAAGTGTCCATTACTTTTTAGCATGTCTAGAGCTGATCGGATAAATTCATTTAATGTAAAATATTCTCGAGAATTTTTACTTTGGAACTTTGAATTGAGACCCAGATATATCGATAGAGCTTCAAACGCTGATTACAAATATGGAAACTAAAACTGCAAAATGAACCTGCCAAGGAAGTTGTGAGCAGTCAAAGTTGGCTGGAAGTAAAGCATTACACTAGCCTCCGGGCTTTCAAAGTCGCCGCGGAGCAGTGGTGGTGCCCTCGCTATTCACCCTGGAGGTCATAAGCTCTCCTTCTGTCGGAGCGCAAATTCCGAGAGCTCTACCACTGCT